CGAGCCCCAAATGGATTTTGAGGTGCTTCACGTGGATTTTGGGGTGTCCAGGTGGATCTGAAGGTTTCTCAAACAGATTTTGGGGTGCCCAGGTGGATTTGGACGAGCCCCAAATGGATTTTGAGGTGCTTCACGTGGATTTTGGGGTGTCCAGGTGGATCTGAAGGTTTCTCAAACAGATTTTGGGGTGCCCAGGTGGATTTGGACGAGCCCCAAATGGATTTTGAGGTGCTTCACGTGGATTTTGGGGTGTCCAGGTGGATCTGAAGGTTTCTCAAACAGATTTTGGGGTGCCCAGGTGGATTTGGACGAGCCCCAAATGGATTTTGAGGTGCTTCACGTGGATTTTGGGGTGTCCAGGTGGATCTGAAGGTTTCTCAAACAGATTTTGGGGTGCCCAGGTGGATCTGGAGGAGCCCCAAACAGATTTTGGGGTGCCCAGCTGGATTTGGACGAGCCCCAAATGGATTTTGAGGTGCTCCACGTGGATTTTGGGGTGCCCAGGTGGATTTTGAAGGTTCCTCAAACAGATTTTGGGGTGCCCAGGTGGATCTGGAGGAGCCCCAAACAGATTTTGGGGTGCCCAGCTGGATTTGGACGAGCCCCAAATGGATTTTGAGGTGCTCCACGTGGATTTTGGGGTGCCCAGGTGGATTTTGAAGGTTCCTCAAACAGATTTTGGGGTGCCCAGGTGGATCTGGAGGAGCCCCAAACAGATTTTGGGGTGCCCAGCTGGATTTGGACGAGCCCCAAATGGATTTTGAGGTGCTCCACGTGGATTTTGGGGTGCCCAGGTGGATTTTGAAGGTTCCTCAAACAGATTTTGGGGTGTCCAGGTGGATCTGAAGGTTCCTCAAACAGATTTTGGGGTGCCCAGCTGGATTTGGACGAGCCCCAAATGGATTTTGAGGTGCTCCACGTGGATTTTGGGGTGCCCAGGTGGATTTTGAAGGTTCCTCAAACAGATTTTGGGGTGCCCAGGTGGATCTGAAGGTTCCTCAAACAGATTTTGGGGTGCCCAGGTGGATCTGGAGGAGCCCCAAACAGATTTTGGGGTGCCCAGCTGGATTTGGACGAGCCCCAAATGGATTTTGAGGTGCTCCACGTGGATTTTGGGGTGCCCAGGTGGATTTTGAAGGTTCCTCAAACAGATTTTGGGGTGTCCAGGTGGATCTGAAGGTTCCTCAAACAGATTTTGGGGTGCCCAGGTGGATCTGAAGGTTCCTCAAACAGATTTTGGGGTGCCCAGGTGGATTTGGACGAGCCCCAAATGGATTTTGAGGTGCTCCAGGTGGATTTTGAAGGTTCCTCAAACAGATTTTGGGGTGCCCAGGTGGATTTGGACGAGCCCCAAATGGATTTTGAGGTGCTTCACGTGGATTTTGGGGTGTCCAGGTGGATCTGAAGGTTTCTCAAACAGATTTTGGGGTGCCCAGGTGGATCTGGAGGAGCCCCAAACAGATTTTGGGGTGCCCAGGTGGATTTTGGGGTGCCCCCAGCAGACGTTTTTCGCTGTCCGGGCTCCATTCCGTGCTGCTCCAGCTGCTCCCACAGCCGATCCCTTGCAGACTCGGGGGTCCCCCGTGCCGATGTCGGGGTGCCCCCCTGCCGATGTGGGGGTCCCCCGCGGCTCTGGGGGGTCTCTAGAAGCCCCTCTGGAGCAGCCACTGCCGCACCTGCGGCCCCCAGTGCCCCCTGAGCCGCAGCGTCCCCGTCACCTCGTTCACCTGCGCCGCCGCCTCGGGGACCCCCAGCGAGCCCAGGAACGCCCTCAGGTCCCGCTCCAGCGCCTGGGGGGGGGCAGGGGGGGTCAGGGGGAGCCCCCCGAGCCCCCCGGAGCCCCCCCGGAGCCCCCCACTCACCCAGATGTCGCCGTGGATGCGGCGCAGCTCCGTGAGGCGCCGGCCCTGCCGCAGCCCCAGGTACACGGGCAGGTTGTGCAGCCGCGAGCGCCGCACCGAGTAGGGCAGGTCCGGGGGGGCCCCTGCGGGAATTAGCACCCCCCGGGGGTAATTAGCACCCCCCGGGGGTAATTAACACCCTCCCCGGGTAATTAGCACCCTCCCGGGGGAATTAACAACTCCCTGGAGGAATCTCACCCACTCCGCCCTTAAGTAAATTCTCTTTGCTGCTTGGTTTGGAATCAGTAATTCCTCCTTCAAGGGAATATTTGGGGTCCCTGAGGGGTAATTAACACCCCCAAACGATAATGAACACCCCCCGGGGGTAATTAACACCTCCCGGGAGTAATTAACACCCCCCGGGGGTAATTAGCACCCTCCCGGGGGAATCTCACCCACTCCGCCCTTAAGTAAATTCTCTTCACTACTTGGTCTGAAATCATTAATTTCTCTTGAAGAAAATATTTTGGTGTCCCCCGAGGGTAATTAACATCCCCCGAGGGTAATTAACACCCCCCTGAGGGAATTAACACCATCCTGGGGTAATTAACACCCCCCCCTGGGGGGGGGCAGGGGGGGGCAGGGGGAGCCCCCCGAGCCCCCCGGAGCCCCCCCGGAGCCCCCCACTCACCCAGATGTCGCCGTGGATGCGGCGCAGCTCCGTGAGGCGCCGGCCCTGCCGCAGCCCCAGGTACACGGGCAGGTTGTGCAGCCGCGAGCGCCGCACCGAGTAGGGCAGGTCCGGGGGGGCCCCTGCGGGAATTAGCACCCCCCGGGGGTAATTAGCACCCCCCGGGGGTAATTAACACCCTCCCCGGGTAATTAGCACCCTCCCGGGGGAATTAACAACTCCCTGGAGGAATCTCACCCACTCCGCCCTTAAGTAAATTCTCTTTGCTGCTTGGTTTGGAATCAGTAATTCCTCCTTCAAGGGAATATTTGGGGTCCCTGAGGGGTAATTAACACCCCCAAACGATAATGAACACCCCCCGGGGGTAATTAACACCTCCCGGGAGTAATTAACACCCCCCGGGGGTAATTAGCACCCTCCCGGGGGAATCTCACCCACTCCGCCCTTAAGTAAATTCTCTTCACTACTTGGTCTGAAATCATTAATTTCTCTTGAAGAAAATATTTTGGTGTCCCCCGAGGGTAATTAACATCCCCCGAGGGTAATTAACACCCCCCTGAGGGAATTAACACCATCCTGGGGTAATTAACACCCCCCCCGGGAGAATCTCACCCACTCCACCTTTAAGTAAATTCTCTTTGCTGCTTGGTTTGGAATCAGTAATTCCTCCTTCAAGGGAATATTTGGGGTCCCTGAGGGGTAATTAACACCCAAAAATGGTAATTAACACCCCCCGGAGTAATTAACACTCGCCTGAAGGAATTCAATGCACCCTGGGGCAATTCGAGCCAGTTTGGGGTAAATAAATCCTCTTTGTTATTCCCTCTTGAAAGGAATATTTTGGGGTCCCCCCGGGGGTAATTAACACTGTCCGGGGCTAATTAAGCCCTCCCAGGGGTAATTAAGCCCCCCCAGGGGTAATTAAGCCCCCCAGGGTAATTAACCACCTCCCACAAAGTCATGAAGCTCCCCCAGACTCAATAACCCATTAACGAATTCCCATTCCGGGGTAAATCACCCCTTTTCCCCCCGGAGCTAATTAACCCCCCCCCAGGATTAATGAGTTAATTACCCGGTCCCCCGGGGGGGGCTGACCTGCGGGGGGGCTCCAGCCGGACGGGGTGGGGTATTTGGGGTGATAACCCATTAACGAATTCCCATTCCGGGGTAAATCACCCCTTTTCCCCCCGGAGCTAATTAACCCCCCCCCAGGATTAATGAGTTAATTACCCGGTCCCCCGGGGGGGGCTGACCTGCGGGGGGGCTCCAGCCGGACGGGGTGGGGTATTTGGGGTG